TAACAATACTTACTCCTTCATCAGCCAAGCTGATCTGCAAAGAAAACAAAAGCTTATTATTATCTGACAGAATTTGAATTGTAGCAATATTGCATCAGGCATTGCTGAGTGAAGCCGATCAGTTTTTTCATTTAATGTAGCACAATGAATGCCTGTAAAACTACTTCATACAAACAGTAGTTTGGGGAAACCAAAAATATAGGCACTTAAAATTGAAAGAAGAAAAACTGATAAAGACAAAAAACATTCCTAAATACTTCAACTTTAAAAACAAGTCCTTTAACAATAATGACTTAAACCAAGTGACAGAAGAATCACAGTTTAAAATCTAAAGTTATTTGTTACTGTATAAAGAATATCACTTTTAACCTCCTTAAAGGAATGTAATGTGAGGTTGCAAGACAAAGGAAATTCTAGGGGGATATGCATATGCAGATGTCATGCAGTATTTTCTTAAAGCTGTGTTTTCTTAAAACCTTATTAGCCAGAGCTGTCATAGACATTTTTTTCATTTGGTTCTCCAGAGCATTGCCATCATTCCATCTCTTCATGAATACCTGAACAGGCCTGTCCATGTGTCAACTCTGAACAGATGCTTATTTAAAGCAAACACATGACCTTTCCTGTCAGTGCCGCCTTCAAACAGACAAGGATACTCACAATCTCAGTGGCGATTTTTTCAACAATGTCTTCGTCCTGCAAATTATGCAGGAAGCGGGAGGCTGGGGAACTGGCGAGTTGACGGAGTTGGGCTACATTGGCTGCCTCTTTGGCTGCCCGGGTGATGCCCAAAGTGAAGAATTTGATGCCCTGGTTCTTGGCATCCGCAACAGCAGAGAAAATGTCAGGGTTCCTGGGGTGGGAAATGCCATCTGTAAGCAGCACGGCTACTTTGATGCTACCATGGCTGGATTCCTCCAGGTAGATCTTGGTCATGTTGGTGATGGCGTAGGTGGTGTAGGTGCCATGCCCGATGTAGATGATGGGAGCTGTATGGGTCTTGAAGTTCTCTGTGCCCCTCCAGTCTCTGAAGGTTTGCTCTATTATAACATGACTGCTGTACTGCAGTAGAGCCACCCTCAAGCTCAGTCTGCGGCCAGTCTGCAGCTGTACCCCTTGGAGTCTGTCCACCACGTTCATAGCTAACTGCTTTTCCTGCTCGTGATTGTCCTTAGCACTCTCAGAGCTGTCCAACAGGAAGGACAGCTCCAAGCTACAGTCCTCATCTAGGATAGCTGTGAGAATACAGGAAAGGATGAAGGACTCCCTATTGGAAACATGTTTTACAAGTGGTATTACTTTGACTAAGTGACTACATTATACATTACTCAAAAATTATGTATTTGTTTCTTACAAAGTCCTCATACATAGGGGGGAAATTGTAGATGAGCGATAACAAGAATACAGAGTAAGGCATAAACAAGTTCAGGCTTATCCTTTGTTGGTCAGCAACATGATGATGAATTTCGTGCACCAAAAATATATTAATTCATTGTATTTTTCATTCATTTTCTTACCTTGTCCGTCACGAATATTTGCAGCCACAAGTTTGGTCCTGGATTTCTTATTTGTTTTGGTCTCTTCATAAAATTCTTGGGCCCAGACACTGGTCAGTGCTGTGACCAGCAGCACCGACGTAAAGGAGGGGAACATCCTCGCTCCAGCTACGGAGAAAAAGGGCAACAACAAGTCAAAATTGTCCACAAAAGTCCTTTGCATGAAACCAGAGTGGATGCATATATTCGATCTGCTAACTTTCTGAACATTACACAAAACATTTTAAAAGCCAAACTAAATTGCTGAATAAAATTTTGTCTTCTCATTGACTCACAGTACAACCTCCTTTGAAAATGCTGCAATTTCTGGTATTTCAGTGTCGTATTTTGAGTGCAGCCCAAAATACAGACTTTATAATGGTAGCAGGAACAGCAGAGGACCGGAGTGCACAGTGAGCTCCAGTTATCTCACAGATTGTGTGGCAGCAGCAGTCTCAGTCATTCTGTGGAACAGAGAGTGAGAGACCCTGAGACACTCACTCCTCTTTTATAAGGAGGCACAGACAGACCAGATCTCATGGAGCCCCGCCAAGACTCCTGCTCTACCCTCAGGGCAGGGGAAGGCTCCTGGGATATGTTTGCTACAGTGAAGCAATGTTGTTTGCTGAAATTTGTATTTTTATCACTACAAGTACAATCAACTGTAGATGTATTCGTTTACTGTGGGGGTAACTAATTTTTAAATACTAAAGAAGTACAGTTATCATGTACTGTAATAGCATATTAGTTTATGTGTGACACTTTGTCTTGTTTGTATTTAAATGTTTTCTGAGGTGGACCTGGGGTAATTTTGGTTTAACATGATTTATTTCCATAGTGAGCAGGGAGGAGTGAGATAATTAGACATACAATCTGACAAGTTGGTATAGAATACGCTGTATTTTTTAACATCTCCATTTTAAAAAGATCTGTTAATTAAGTCAGTAAAGCTTGTAGGAAAATTTGGATATAATGTACAATAAGGTTACATCACAAAAAATTGATAAATAGCACAAAATTACATAAATAATTAAGTAGCACAAAATTACAACATTATAACGGGGTTAAAAGGTAAAAAAGTGGCAGGGTTGACAGCATACATTCCACAAGTATGTTTTTTCTTTTAAATTAAAGGCCCTAATGGCAAAGGCCTGGTGACCTTTGATCTCTGCGACAGACTTTGGAATGACCATAACAACCCTGCCTGAGGAAAAAAGGGTTAAAAGCCAAATAATGAAATTAAGAAATTCATAAAATCATAAAATTAACCAAGCAATGGCAACTAGTGTAGAGATGCTAGAATTGTTTCCTGTTCTGTTGTACTAATTATTATGGTATTCTCAACAGAAACCTCAGCTAGACCATTCGATGAAAATGGGCTAATGGGCGCATTTAGCAAAGGATCAAAAGCTCTACAATATCTTTGTAATACCATCCAGAGAGTAGCATGTGCAATGCATATGAGCTCTATTTTTAGATTTGAAACATATATGAAACATCTCCAAAGTATGAGCAGTTAGTACAAGCAATGAGGGCCTCACAGTAACCTCAAGCGTTGATTGTATGAGCTGTTAGGGCACTAGATTTACAATACCTTTTGTTGGCTGGTATGATTTGATTTGTTTCCTTTAATTATACTTGTATGAAAAGGGGGTTGTAACCACAAGGACATGCAATTTATCTTTCAGAAAATAAATAACTGGAAGCTCTAGGTGGTGCTTCACCTTTCAGACCCTAAGAGATGACCATATGACTGTTCAGCTGTGAAGATGACCTTTCAGCGAGCATACTCCTCCTGGTGTGGTTTCTGGTTCTGTGCAGAGGATTCATGGAGCTTTCTGCCTGCTGTGCTTAAAGCGAAGAGGCTTTATATTGCAAAGCTTCAGGCAAGAAGTAATTAGAGGAAACTTTCTGACACAAAGGAATGTTTCATCAAATTATGGACTGGCAAAATCCACCCCAACACTTTGCCCTATGATGAATGGCAACCATTCAGTGTTATATGCTGCAGCAGTTGTAAAATGAAAGTAAAGTCAGGTTATCTTTCAGGTACATCCATCACTGACTGAATGCTTTTGTTTATGCTCCCCATTATGTTTGTGGCTACTAATGATAAGAAAAAATTGCTCTACTTTCTCCTCATTCCTGCCAATGAATTGCTGTTTTTTAATTGTTGGGTTCAGCGACATACATCAAATCAATCTTTCGTAGACCAGGATTACAGACGTTTAGGTCAACAAAACAGGAATAGAGATTCTAAAGCAGTGATTGTTATAGGGTCAGGATTCTGCACCAGCGATCCAGTAGAAATTTGAAGCATGAATTAGATTATTGATGGAATTTTCCACAAGAGTCGCATCTTACAGATCATCTGATCAAATCTCAAACACACTTCTTAGACTCACTAAAAACTGACTTCTTGCTGAAATAAAAAGTGCTTATGGCACACTTGAAAGATAAGCCTCTATGTTTGAATGTTCCTGAGCAGTGCTATTTTTTTTTATCATTCCAATCTTCATGTTATGCCTGATCATCAAAACTATAGGAGCGATCCTACTTTAGATGAGCAGTTGCGTAACAATACTGCGAAAACTCCTACGTGGGTAGAAAACACAAGAACTACACACTCTGTTCCTCTGTGTAACAGAAGGATAGAATGTACAGGTGTGCAGTCCACAGTATGTCAAATGAACTATAAAATGCTATGCTTCAGGAAATACAGCAGCCTCCTGAATTAGCCATGTTTTCATTCAGTACAGTGGTAATTTGAGTAATATTAGGTTAGCTTTACTTAACACATTCAAATATTTCATGAAATAAATGAACACTTCCGCAACAGTAGAACCAGACCTCAACGAATCCTACTAGATGGGTCTGTGGTGCCCTCTTTCTGTAAGTAAGTGGACTTAAAAACGAGTGGACTACGCATGCTCAGGCAGGCTGTTGGGCACAGCAGTATCTCCTGCCCTGTACAGCATGGGTGTATACTGTTGTTGCCTGTGGCTTCCTTACCTTCACCTACAACTATCTTAACCACGTTGGGTGCTGTGGGATGGTGCAGCAGCGGGTCAGTGGGAGAAATGCGTCTCTTTCTTCGACTGGGTGAATACACTAAATGAACATGGTCCGACTGTCAGCAATATGTGCCCTTTGGCTTGTATTTAACGCAAACGGATACATGCGTGAGTCACAACCTTACATTGACCATTAAGTGTAAGTTTAAGCAGCTAAAATAAGAGATAAGCAATTATCCATCTCTTCAATCAGACCCATTATGTCTTGGTTCACTGTCTCAGTGACCTTTCCAATTAACTCATTAAAAGTCAGTGTCTCACACACTGCCTGTTTGAACTTTTTGAGTTTCAGTGGCAACAAATTATGAGCAATGCTATCCTAAAGCACTCAGATGTGTTAATATATTTTAAGTTTGCTTATTTGTCTTGTAGATTTATTATATTCCATGCATTGCAATCATAAAAACTTTTAATGGCCAGGTACACAAAGGGCTCTACATGACTCTACATTGCTCTCAGTGTACCTACACACATAACAAAAAAAACAAAAAGACAGCAAGCTAAACAGAAACAGACACGTAACAGTGTACAGTACAAACATAAGGCCTATAAGCAAAACAACCACATTTGGAGACAGCAAGATAGTGTCCTGAAGTATAGTGCAACATAGCAACACAAGGAGCACATTTTAAAATAACTTTTTAGTATCTTGCAGAATTGCTGATATTCACCCTGAAGCAAAGTTCACAGACATGAGTGTGGAGCAGGAGCTCATGGTCACTGGCCTCAAAGTGGTAGATCTGCTGGCACCCTCTGCTTAAAGTAGAGATTGGCTGGTGGTTTATCTGACACTCTATTGTAATTTTGGTCTGCACTCACATTTTCATACACGCATTTCATGATGGTTGATTCTTGTACATGTTGTTTTGCTTCAGGTCTGTTTGGCGGCACTGGTGTTGGCAAGACTGTGTTGATTATGGAGCTGATCAACAATTTGATCCAAGGCTCCCAGTGGCGACTCTGTGTTTGCTGGAGTGGGACAGCAAATCCATAAGGGTTACAACTTGTACCATGAAATTATTGGTGTCCGTGAGCTGTATTTATTTGTTAAAACACAATTTCAGTTTTCTTTTGACTTAGCTATTTAAAAAACTTAATGCCTAATAAGGCTGACGTTTAGCCCATCAGGTGGCGAAGTTTCTTGTTTAACTCCCTTTCTTGCATAAGGAGGTTGGTGCTGTGTTCTTTGAAGGCTTCAAAGTCCTGTAAAGTAATGAAAATATGAAAATATGTTGAGCATGTTCTAAGACTTGTATAGGCCACTGTCAATAACACAATATTTCATATTCTTACTAACCTTTTTGAACTTCCCATAATTTGATGTGGATTCATCAAGAGCGGATTGGAGAGACTTCACTTTTACATCTGCATTAACCGCTTCTGCTTCCTGTTCAAACCTGAGGCAATGTCAGGGACAAATAAAGACATGGACAATGTCACACTTCAGAATTTTCCATTAAGCAGTAGTGTTTTGTTGATGCACCTTTACCTGTCCTCTGCTTTGGCCCTGGCTTTTTTCTCTTCTTTCCATTTTATCTCCAGCTGCTGGATTTCCTCTTGTTTCTCCTGTATTGAAGACCAATTTGTGTGTGCATAAAGTGATTGGTTCATCTGTGCAGGGCTTTGAGTTCAGTGAGGAGAACAAATAACTTATTATTTTTACCTGTATTACTTTTCCTCTTTTCATAGACAGATGCAATAATTTGTCCTTCTCTTTGGTGAGGCTTGTTATGCTTCCTCTCATGTTGATTTCCTTCAAAGCATGCTGTTCTTCAGCCTTTTGTAGCTTCAGCTTAAGGTCTGATCATGGAGAGAATGCCACAAGTTTACAAGTGCTTGCATTTTGTTGCACTCCAGAGAATAATAGAATATTGAATACCCACCTTTGCACATCTCCACAGCATCTCTGTGTTGTTGCTGAGCATCATGCAATTGATCAAGTAGCGATGCTTCTTTGGCTTGATGCCGAGTTGCTTGTTCCTGGAGTTTTGACTGGCATCCAGCTAATTTCTCCCTTAAACACAGATGTAAAATACTGCAAAGGTATTCAATTAAGAATAACAGAGAGAAAAACAGCAAATATATACATTTTAAAAGCTGAAACAAGAGAATGTTTGGCAGTTTTAGTGGACAAATTACTGACAGGATGAAAAGATAATCAAATTTCTGTTAATTGACCAATAGATTGATCTTTCAGCACTATTCATTTATTCTTCTTCTTACCGATATTCATTTTCCTTAATTGTGTATTTCTCTGTCAGCTGTTTGATTTCTTCCATCAGTTTTTGAACAAACACTTCCTTATCTTGTAATTTTTGGGAGAAAAGTGTTTCATTTTCTGACTGCAGCTGCTTGTTTTCCAGCTTTAACTGGGCGTTCTGTTTTTTGTGCTCGTCCATGAAAGCAATAATGCCTTGATTGTTGGCAGCTAAATCCATAAATCTCTTTTCCAATAGCTCTGCTTTCTTTCTTTCGCTGTCCAGTTTTTTCTGGTAGTCTGTTACTCTGTCCTCCAGCTCCGTATTGATTTTCTGCAGGGCATCACAGCGAAGAAGCAGCTCATCTGCTCTGTGCTTCAATATGCAGATCAGACTTGACTGTTCATCTATCCTGGACCGCAGCATCCCTGTGTCCTTTGGAGAAAGGCTTCGAAGTTTCTCCAGTGCCTTCTGCATACTATCCAAATGCTGAAAATATGGAAAACCCTGTGTTAAAATATGACACACAGTTGCTTTTGGCAGCTTCTTAATTATACTGTCACTATTTTTATAGGATGCCCCCGCATTAAAAAAATCAAAAATATAAATTACATATTGGCATCACAGAAACATGTTAACTGTTAAAAAGAGGTAGCAACAAAGTCCAATTCAAGAGTAGGACTGTTCAACAGTAGAACTATTCAGATACTTTACAGTACCAATACAACAATGTAAAAATTATTTTAAGTAAAAGCTGTCAACAAAAAGTATTATCAGCTAAATATACTGTAATTATACTAAGTATCAAAAGTTAAAGTACTCGTTATGAAGGCAGAATGGTTCCTGTCACTGGTATAATGTTATAACGTTATATCATTGGATTGCTATTAGGTTAGTGCTTTACGACGTGTAGGATGGCTCATTTGACAAATTTCCTTTATATACAGTTGGGTTAAAGCATTCCACTATTTCAGCTCATATTTGTATATAAAGCATTAACGTTATCAAATAACAGTTGTAGAGTATTTGCTGAAAGGGGCGTTGGGAAAATGCGAGTGACGGCTCATTTGGCCGCAGTGAAATGTAGTAATGTACAGGCATGTACAGTTGTAAAAAGTCACGTTAGAATAAAATGGAAATATTTAATGCTTACAATTAACGATTAGATTAGATGTCAGAAACTTTTTAACAATGTAATGTTACATGTAGCCCATAGTACATGAGCGCATAACGTTAGTGTAACGTTGCCAAACACATGAGCTCAAATAAACTCAGAATATCATACTTTTAGAGGAAAGTAGCGATTTTATCACATGAGAATTAAGTTAGCACAATACTAGATAACAGGTGGGCAGAATATCAACAACTGACGTGTTAAGAAAGTTGAAGTTGAAGCTCTTTTTTACGTATTTAACATTACATAACTTATAGCGAAGTTACTTCAGCTATATGGGACCGTTTTTCAGCAAGTCTCAAGTTTTCTTAAAGACATAATACACTCGTATGTAATTTAAGATTATGTGACCGTTGCGCAAGTAAGATGACTTGACATTCAGTTAAAAGTATAACGTTATTCATTAGCAAACTAGCAAGTTAACGGTTAGCTAAACCTTAGCTAAACCAACCGTTAGCTAGGAGACTGAGAGTAAGTTAATTTACACACTCTCGCCAACGAAGACCCCGCAGATTTATCGTTTTCATCGATAAGTTTTACATACCTCCGTGTTGTTGCCCTCCACCTTCATTAAGTTTTCTGCATTTATCTGTGGAGTTGCCATTATGAGAAAAAATACCCCCCATCAACGCTTTGTAGAATTCATCTTCAAGTTTCAGTTACTCGTCGCTAATAGAAACCATCTTTGACCAGTACTCTCTGATTTAGCACAGCTGCAGGTGAAACGCTGGTGCTCCTGCTCGGCCGCAAGATGGAGGTGTTGGGCTTCAGATCAGCCACATTCACTGTCAAGGTATGGGTCATCTCGAAATTTAATCATGGTGGAAAAGTCAGTAGTTTTTAGTTTTTTTTACTGTTGCTAAAATCGCTTTGGTACATCTTTTAGTAACTTGATTGTATGTGTCAGTTTTCATTTGGAGGCGTAACGTTAATTAGCGGATGTACCGTCGATTTAATTGTTTTATGCATTTAAGTCACTTGTGAAATAGGGAAATATTCTTAATGGACCTTAAGAGATCCCATTGTACCCGTATGGCTTAAGACACTGTTCGCCTCATTTTCATTTAAAATTATTTGCATTTTCCTGTCGTAGGTTATATTAAGCCTGGTGTGGGGAAGTGCGTGTATAACATGCAACCAGGGAGGGTCCTTGGTCAAACTCGGACCAGGGACATTGGGATTACGTGACTCGTCTGGTCCTTCCGGACAACCCAATTTGCAGCTCTTCATAGTTTTATATTTTTATTACTCCTCATCATTAATTTCCTCTCAAACGCCCACAGGCACCTAAATGCGGAGCAAATAAACATGATAACCCGAGAATGATAACCCGCTGTGAGTGAAAAATTACCGGTACTCGGGACAAGTCGGACCTGCATGGCATTATGCAGATTCCAGGGCCAGAGGGATTTATCTGGAGGGGCCGAGGCTGGCTTGGGGGAGCGGCTGTCCTGGCCTTTGTGCACGCCCCTTTTCATCGACTAGCGGGCCAAGAAAGACAGAAGAAAGCAACAGCATCCCAGCCCCAGTCCCTACAGCTCCTCCATCTGCACAGCGGAGCTGGACGGACCAGCCAGAATGTGGACATCACTGCTACTCAAACTCTTTCTCTTCTTCATATGCTGTGTTAGATGGTGCCACTCTGAAGGTAAGTAGTGTGACCCCCACCCCCCCTTAAACATTTTTTTTTAACATTCATACAGGTTGTCAGCTGAATGATACATTGAGGACCTGCAGAGTTGTTGTGTTACTAGTGAGTCACCCAGTGCACTTGTTGCTCATCAAAACAAACCGTGCAGGGAAACTGAAATAAAATCTGTATTTATTTCTTCCATCCAATGAGTAATAGTTTAAATGTTGATGGGATAAATTAACTGAACACATTGAAATAACCTTGTGGATGATTCAAAAAGCCACTGTTTTAATAGAAGTACACAGTCTCCTCCAGTTGTTCTGATGTGGCTACTTGGGTAAAGTAATGCTGGCTCTAGAGCTAAATGTTTTACCACGTAGTTTTACTTTAAAGGTTGAGCACAAAGCCGTCCTCACACAGATTTGAGGTTCTCCTGAGGAACCTTTGCCTGAGCTTTACTGTTGCTAGGTAACAGAAAAGAGCATGTGACTTACAGACAATCTGTGAGGACTGAGAGCTGCTGGTACAAATCTCACTCAGTGGAGCAAACTTTACGCTGCGAACCACTGATTCAAACTCGATTCCAGCTCTAGGAAGAACTTTGTTTTGCTTGATGTGAGGCGGTGACAAAGTGTTGGGACACTGCTCTTTATGCATGGCAGTCTTGTGTTTGTCGCTTGTGTTTGTAGCACAGCTAGATCCTACTTCTCAAATTGTAATCTGCTTTCTTTTGCTCAACCCTTAGTATGTAAGCTCCTTAGTGTGAATCAAGCAACTAATTACACTGCAGCTGCTGCAGAATGGAGCCATTTCTACCTAAGGAGCAGTTTGAAGTTAAGAAAAAAACTGTACCACGAGTAAGGTCATGGCTACAGCTTTCTTATTTATTTATTATCAAAGTTCCTGGACCTATTCTTTTATATTTCCTCATGAGCTAATAGACACACAACAAAAGAAAAGGTGGACTGTCCATGCAAATTACAGCAGCCACAGTACTTGTAGCTGAAATTTGCTGATGACAACTGAGGGGTACAAAATGATGAGTTGACTAAAACCACAGACTCTCAGTAGACTTTGTCAGTATGTTCACATTGATCATTAGCTTGGATTTGTTGTGATTAACAGACAGTGATGTAGGCTGCATAAATAAAAATCACTGAGTAATTTATCTTTTTTATCTTTTAATAGCAATTTCATATTATATTGAGTAACAAGTGCTTCCTGAAGGCTATCTGGATCAGACTGAAAGATGTGTCACTTAATAATATATGCAGAAAGATTAGTAATGGTTTATTTATGTAGTTTTACTGTGAAGTGACAGGGTACTTTATCTAATCTCTGCTTGATCCTCCACATATATCCTTTAGTTTGATAATTATTTGTTCCCCGACCTTCTGTAAGACATTATCTAGCCTTTGGGCTTGATGCTGCTGCAGAATGCTTACACTGGCATTAATAGCTAATGTGACGGTCTGAGGGGATTTCATGGTGCTGGTTTGTTAACTATCCTCTGCCATTTTTGCTATTCCAGACATGTTTTGTCAGTAAACTGAGTTGTTTTCTCCATTGATCATTGCCCAGTGAAATCTTGATAACCTATTTACAGTAAGAACTTTAATGGTATTGCAATTTTTTATTTCACAAGAGGAATATGAAACAGAATAATGAAGTATTTTGGTTAGTTGTGGGGCTTATCTTGATTTGATCAAACCTGTTTTTAAGCTTCTTCCGTTGTGTTCAAACTTTTCAAGACACACAAACTTGGGCATCATGTGCATGTAAAACCTCACACATGCCGGCTTCTTTCCGGAGCCTAAATCCTTGTGCAACAGTTACACTTCGTTAGAAAAAGGAACACATTTGGCACAAATTGAGAGCAGATCCTTTATTTTCCTGCAGCTCCCTCAGTCTAAGTTACAGACACTGACAGTTGGTGAGCTGTGACTCACTGTACAGGGGAAATAGAAGTTGTCCATTGGCTGTGTCACTGCATTGTGACATCTTAATTTACGGTTCTTTTACTCATGTCTTTGTTAAGGCACATACCAAAAATCATGTTGAGTATTCCGCAGTTCTAACCAGACCAAAGTTTTATTCCTCTCACCATTTATTCCTTCCTTTTGCTCCCATGCCACTGCCAAAGCCCCTTGTTTTTTTCACTGTTTTGTGTGTAGCAGTAAGAGCCAAAGTCACTTGTTTGGCAATTGACTGCATTCTGCTGCATTGATTTCCATATGAAATAGGCAGCAGCACTTCGCTCTGACAGCATGGACGGGTCCAGCGTTTCATGCTGCCAGCAGCCGTTTTCTCCACGTTTCTCCACACACATTCAGTGAGTGCAGAGGGCTGGGCCAAAACAAGATGGTATTGATGAAAGCTTGAAGGCATCTTTCAGGCGCCCCATGACAAGAAAGAGATGTTTCAGTGCCAGTTGACAGGTGTTTTCTTAATGGGTGGCCGTGAGAGAGGAACTTATGTTCCACTTTTGTTTTACCTCATTGCAGGATGTAATCCTTACTGTACTCTGCTTTCTGCTGTCCATCTCCAAAGTGCCTTTTTTTAGGGTGACACTTCCAGTTATGAGTTTGCATCCCTGCTGGCACCTCTTTTGTGCCATTGTAATTTCACAGTGGGGTTTAAGGCGTTTGGGGGGGCTTCATTCTAATGAAAATTCCTCTACTGCTCTTTGTTGGGCAATAGTAAGGCGCCCTTATCTTCCTGCATGGATAGTGCGGTGCTGTCTCCTGCTGTGGGTTTAAGTTGCTAATTAGAAAAGACAAGCCTAGAAAGAAGGGAAAGGACAACATTAAATAACACAAAAACACTCAGCCAAAAAACTAATTAAAGGGACAGATCATCAGATTCAGGTTAAACATTCTTAATAGCAGAATTGAACCATTCACCCCGGCTTTTACCTTTTCTTATATTGATTGACGTAGTGAAATTGTGACTTTGTCAGGATGAAGACATAGAAATTGGAGGATTTAGGAAAAGCTACAAAGACAACGTTCTTTTCAGAATGTAAGAAGAACCTGCTCAGGAGATAGTGCCGTTGAAAGGTTCAGCTTCAGTGTAGCTGTCACCTTTCCCAGAAGTAATACTGTCAGGAAACACTGGCTGCATTTGAAAGCCTCATGCAGATTGGTTTCTCCTTAGCATATGTGGTTTTAAGTTGTCAGCCTAGCTGTGAATGTATGGCAACTATAAAAATCTTTCAATTGTTTTGCAAATGTTTACTGTTTTATTTTATTGTTACATATTTGACATTCAGTTTTTTAACGTTTGTGGTCCTGTACAGATAGTAGTGATGTCTGGGCATTCATACTTAGATGTGTTGAATGAGTCCTTCATTGTTGAGGGAAATATTGTATTTTTGTTAGATATAAGATATTGTATTTTTGTTAAATACAGCGCATCTAGCTGTTCTACTGTATGCAACACTTGTGCCTGCTACCATGCTATAGATAATGCTGAAACCTCTGGGATCACTAACTTTCAACAAAGGCTCCCTTTGAGCAGATTGTGAGCAATTTTATCATTAGTAAACTGAGCAGGAAAAAAAGGTTAGTCTCCTGGATAGCTGCTGAAGGAGTTAAATATACAGCTTGTCTTGCTGGGCTGGCCGTAAAGCAGTTTGGTGGTGTGCTGGCTAATTAATCTGAGACAAAAATTCTTGATCGGAACGCATGCAAGGCTTTTAGTGCTGGAGCACAGGCAATGAACCCACAACTGTTGTGGAAGTTCATCCATCTTTAAAAGAGAACATTACATAAAGGAGATGATAAACCTGTGACTCTAAATGCAATTAAAGACATTACATTTTTTGCTTAGGTAAACACACATGGCCTAAAAATGTTATACGATGTTTAAATAATTCCTTAGAACTAGTAACTTAAGCCATTATAGTGGGATTATATAGCTAAAGCTACGGGGTACTGCAACATTTGATTTGAGATAAGAAACCCCAATATTTATTTATAAGTATAAACATTTTTGATCAAGAAGGAAAGAATATTTCCTAAATGCTGGATAAGACAGCACACCAGATAGACCACCAACCCCATGTGTGCACCACCAATCATCACCTCGTTGCTCTTC